CTGGACTCTGCAGTGGGAAACCAGTGTAAAATACGGGACAGTGGGTTCCCAACACAACCTATGGCTTCATGAACACTAATTGCTTATATTTTACAGGCTGCTTGCTTTTATTTTAGCAGGAATTTGTCCTTGCAATGAACAGAAAAGGGATCTATGAACCATGGTCTGAAGGACTGATGTTATTTGAGGTCTGGGCTCAGAGGCTTCAGCCTTTAGGTTTAGAGGTTCTGTGAGATCAGACAGACTTCTTGCAGTGCAAGTTCCAGAGGATTACTCACAATCTTCTCACCAGCTACACCAGCTATGGGCAGAAACAAGCACTTTCCTACTCTGTGCAGAAGAACCCGAAGTCCTAGGTGAGCCACACAATTTGAAGTTGTTTTAAATCAGATTTGAAGAACAGCTGTTTGTTGTCAATGAATGCAATTGTTTTGAAGGGAAATAAGTTCCTAGTGCTTCTCTCTAACACCCAAGATGTATCCTATGTTTTCAACCCTCAGCCAACTGCAGATTACTCCAGCACTGCTTCAAGCCATGGAGAAAGCCATTGCTTTCCTCTTTCCCTTGAGTGACATTTGTAGTCCTTCTTTGTCCTTCAGCCCGATATTTGTTCATTCAAGAGCCCAGTTAACTTGTCCCAGAGAAACCTCTCTGCCCTTTGTCCCAGCAGCAGTATTCAGAGGTTTTAACGTGTGAAAATAAGGTACGCTTCTGAATGAAGCTGGTTTAAATATTGTAGTTAAATCTGCTGGGATTTTCTAAGGGTTATTCAGCCCTTCTTCATGAAAGGCCTGCAAAAAACCTCTACAGGAGAGCCTGCCTCCTGTGCACGTCATGCAGAAGGCAGGTACATCCAGAGCACGTCGGGTCCTATCACTACCCACGCACCAAGCCATTTTCCCAGTTAGTCATCCTTTCCTACCCTCCTTCTCAATGCAAACATTGCTTTCCTAGCACTCACGAAACTCAGCCCTGGTGCTGGCCTTACGTAAGTGATTTCGACATGGAGAGCTGTGCCATGAGTGCAGTGGACACGTGATGCTCCACTCAGCCTCTGGTAGCCACCCTGCACGTCAGCGTGGCCTCCTGGGTGGCTCTTTGGGACTTCCACACAGGCCTCCATCCCTTACAGCAACCCTTACACACCCTTCAAGGGTTTCAGCTTCTTCCTGGATTGCCTCCATCACCTGCAACTCTGACAGTCCCATAAGCACAGCACCCATTGAACTTATTCACCCCCTGGCCCTCACACATTCCATATATCCATGTGCTGTCAGCAAGGTCTCCATGGATTTACCTGTGCCCTTGCACTGAACTCCCAATCTGCTCTCCTGGTGCACTGCATGCACCTAGAGCTCCTTGCACACTTAGCCTCCCTCACAGCAAGAGGCAGATTACAAAGAGATGTTTTAAGCCTTCAAAAACTTTTTCCCACTCCTCATCACTCTTCCTTCCCCCATAAGTGGTTTTCTTTCTCCCAGACCCCACACCCAGGTCTGCAGTCCTCACCTGTACTTCCCTCATTTCCTTCGAGCATGCTGTGTGTATAAATCTCTCTTATCAGACACAACTTTTCCCTCCCTTCCCCTTCCCTAGCACAGCAGGCACAGCCTGGCAGGTCCCTTCCTCGCTCCCACACTGCTGTTTGTCAGCCCGTGCTGAGCTCCTCATCCCTTATAACAGGAACTGTCATTCCCATCCACTTCCACCTCATGCTCTACAGCTCCCAACTCCACTTGCCTCCCCACACACTTCACACTTCACTTTTGACCTCAGCACAGCCATGTGGCTTATACGGCCCTCCAGGTAGTTTTTCCTCCCATTCCTTCTCCTCCCACCCCTTTATATCTTCAGCTATTTTTCTCCACCAGCGCATTTGTTCCATTCTTGCTGTTTCACTCAGCCAGTACCTACCACAGATATGCAAACACATTTGTTACATCTGTTGCAACAGAAAATTACTCCTTTTTGTTTGTGTATGTTCTCCTCCTCCCAGAGTTCTTTCCATTATTCCTTGCTTGCTGTTCCTTGCCCCAGCTGCTTCCCCTGTAAGTTATTGACTTTCTTTCCCCGTGTTCCTCCTACTCCGCAGCAAAGAGGCATCCCCAGTTCTGCCAAGCAAACCACTGCACCTTTGCACTGCTCCCTCTTTGCCTACTAAGAAACAAACCCCCAAATTTCCCTTCACTCTCTGCTCTCACCCTGTATCTCCTGTAAACCACCTATTTCCCAGGCATTACAGAAAACACAGCTCTTTATTTCATCCTCATTCATGCCTCCTACATTCCTTAATTTTTCCTCATTCTCGTGCTCCTCAACACCTGCCATAGCTTTATATCCTTGCCACAGTTCATCCTGCCCCTGTGGCTTCCACTCTCTTGAATTTCCTCACACCACTTCCCCATGGCTTTTTCCCCAGTCTGTCTCCCTTGCAGGCAGGCAGCATAGTCCAGCAGGCTTCCAGCCTGCTCTGAAATGTCTCTAATTAGTTACCCCTTCACATACTTCCAGGACCCTTTTCCCCTCACCACACCCTATCTCCATCCAGCTCATTTTTCCCTCTGTGTTCCTGTTCTCGGCACATGTTTCCATCACCATGCAAGCCTTGCCTTTCATACTCTGATACCTTCCTTGTAAATACATCCTCGTATCTATTTCTTGACAGAATCAAAGGTGACTCCTTTTGACGCCCCCCACAAGCATCATGTAGCTGATTATTTTCCATACCTTTCTCCAAATAGCTAATACTTCACATTTTAACTCCTCCTCCAAACATCCTTTGTGCTTTCACCTTTCTCCCTCCACTCCCACTCCATACCCAACCTCCCCCTTGCAGACCCTACCATCCTTGTATGTCCCGTTCATATCCTCACCCAGCCTCCAGCCTGTACCTTTCCCCATCTCTTTAGAGTGTTACTTCCTCTTGTGAGCTCCTCAACTTTCTGCCACCCACAAGGATCTTCTTTTTCCAGTTGATGTGCAGCAGTTTCCCCTTCGAGCTGACCACCTTTTCATGTCTCACCTGCCATTATTACTCCAGTGCACAACAGTGAACTTTATTTCTGCTGAAATACAGTTTTCTGCTTCCCTACAGTTTTTATATATCTTTAGATGTACCATTTCATTTTTTGTTCCCTGAAGAGGAAAACACCCCAACCCACAGCAGAACAATGGGAACAAAACCCCTTAAACCTATGTGTTCTGCATACCTCAACATGTAGCACCCTTCTACACAAAGCACCACCCTGCTGGCTCTGCTGGTACCTCCACTTCTCCCATGTTTTGGCTCCACCACCTGCAATCATGCCTGGATTTTGTCCCCCCACCATGCTCACACACAAAGCCCCTGGTATTTACACGTGTATTTTAGACCAGTCTTTTTACTACCAGCAGCTGGGACCATGCTGAACTCTTCCATTCTCTGCTGCTTTTGTCTGGCAAGGCTTTTTTTTTTTTTTTTTTTTTTTTTTTTTTTTTTTTTTTTTTTTTTTTTTTTTTTTTTTTTTTTTTTTTTTTTTTTTTTTTTTTTTTTTCTTTTCCTTGAATCCCATTTATAGGTGCTTCTTCTGCCACTTCTCCACTTGCAAGCTTGCACATATCAGGCATTTCTGTACCTGAAAGCGCCTCTCCTACTTGTCTGGATATTTTCCTCAAGGCACAATGCAAAGGCAAAACTTTACATACCATTTGCACTCCTCATGCAACAAATCACACGAGCCTGAGAGCAAAGAGTGTTTTCTGAAAGACTGTAGCTCACAACAATCCTCTGGACCATATAACACACATCCCTGTCTATTTAAAAAAGGGGGAGGGAGAGAAGCAACCCCCCTCACACACACACACACACACACACACACACACACACACACACACACACACACACACACACACACACAAGTACACATACACACACACAGAGTCATCTCTAAATAACTGGTTTTGCAATATAGGAACCAGAGAATGTGCACATAGCAGCCCTATTCAATCCAAAATATCCATCTCTCCAGATACTGCATATTTATAGTTATAGCTTTTATATAGCTTTCCCGTTTATTTTAATGAAGGATTAAGAACTGATCAGAAAACTATCTGAACCATTCAAGGACTTTTTCCCCTCTTGGCTAAGAGCAGTTTGGTGTCTCCACAAGGACTCGCCAGTAACTGACGCTTTAAGCTGCATTTCAGCTGTTTAGATGAGAAACAGCTTTCTATTTTGCTCTCTAGATGTGCATCTCTGTTGATTAGTTGTGTGCTGCATTCCTAGAAGGTGCTCACCCAACGCTGGGAGCTGCAATGTAAGAACAGTTTCCCTGCCATTCCAGCACAGAGCGAGTGTATCTTTTGCACCTAGACACAGATGTGCAGGGAATCTTTTGATCTCCAGCTCTTCCCAGAGAATTTAGTGTTTGGGTTTGAGGAGAATGAGGATTGATTCAAAGGTCATGAGCAGGGTTTCCAGTGTCTGGCACACACACAAAGTATGAAAGCTCCAGTGAAGCTGGTTACCTGTGGCAGGCGAGGTCTAGAAATTAGGAATTTTGGCTTTGCTTGTCATGGGCTCTAACTTTGCCAGAGGGTGAGCATGCTATGTGCGCTGAGGCTGGTTCTTGCAATCCACGGTCAAGATTCCCAACCCCTTTTGTTATAGCTGAACTCGCTGGTTTCCCTCTTAAGACAAAACCAAAAGTCTCCTTTGCTTTTGACTCTTAAATCAGATTTCCTCTAGCACCTCGCATTTCTCCTCCACTGCTTTCTTTCCAGAGACCCGAACAACAGTGTGAGGAGCGGGAGGAGAGGGGAACCTCAGGGCTGAAGCAAACTATAGGGCAAGTAGGGGTGAGGGAAGGAGGAGGCACAATGGGAAAAGCAACATTTGGGACACATCTACCGCTCACAAGACCCCCACCTCCTCCCCATGAAACTTCTTTAAAGGACCCCTCTCCCCCCCTCCCCTCCCCGCCCTCTTAGGACCCCATTAGAAAACGTCAAATTTCCCTTACCGTGGTAGGAGTAACCATGGCATCCGTGTGAATGTTTCCAGAAAAGTCGACATGAAGAGAAAGGTGGATGTAAATACGTTCATTCAAAGTCCCAAAGTTGGTCTGCTTGGGTTGTGCAGAGTTGCTCTATGGGAGAGGAGCCTTAAACTCTGAGTCCCGTGAACATAATCTGCTCGATTATAACAAACCAGCTCAGCCAGATGGCTCTGTGCTCCGTGAATTAACCCCTTTATTGCCACACTCTGCTTTCCCTACCTACCATTTATAACAACCTTGCCTGGCTGGGGAAATTCAGAGAATGAGGCATTTTTTTGAAAATGGCAAAACCATCATAAAGGTCATTTTTCCCTCTGTGTGCTCTAAAAAAAACCTATCCTGTGCCTATTTTCTTTTCTTTCTTTCTTTCTTTTTTTTCAAATCCAGTTGATGGTTTTATTCCTCTTCCTGGCAAAACCTCTTCATATTATTAAGAACAGTATTAGCACCAGGGAACATTTTAGAGAATTCTTTTGTTAAATCACCACCATCCCTTCCAGACTGCGATTCTCAGCAGATGAGTATTTTACTGCAGGAATGTCTCTGTGTTTGCACTCTAATGGTCCATCCACTCCCCCCTTCCCGCCCCTCTGTCCTCCACGCTCCCTCTGTCTCCCACATGCACACACATGCACACACTTTACTCACACTGCCAGCATGTGCTGCTATTCCTACCCGTGTTCACAACTCACTGTAGGACATGTCAAGCAGGTGAAATAGAGGCACAGAGCTACAGTGCCAAAATCTCCCCCCACTCACTCTTACTTCCCTTTTTTTTTTTTTTTTCCCAGTTATTTGCAAATTTTTGACAAATTTATTTCTTCGGTCAGTATTTCTGCCAAGGAAGTCACCCGCCATGACACAAAAATAAGTGCTGAGAGAAACACCCACCATTAAGAACAGACCTTAGGATGGATTTGTGTACAGTTCCTCCTGTTTTGACTTGCAGATTCATCCATTAAGGATGGCATGTGCCAAAAACATGGAAAGTTCATCAGCAACCAGCAGCGACTGGTTCCCAAACTTTTTATTTAGAGAGATCACTCACAGAGATGGCTGATAAATTTAGCTGCATGCCTCAAAGTCTCCCTCTAAATTTACATGCTTAAGTCATCTTTCTTTTCTGTTTGATTTGAGCTTAATTGAGCAAGTCATAACCATAAGAACGTGGTCATATAAGATACGAGGTGACACTTTAAATCATAAGGGTCACCAGATTGTTTCCTTAAAGAATACTTTTACTAGCTCAATAAGTTTTTTTCTGTTCCTGTTTAACCATGGATTTTTTTCTCTTTCCCTTCCCTGTGTAACGATAATTAGCCCTCTCCTTCTGTCAAAGCTTTGTACCATCTCCTTTAAGGCATTTTAATCTACCTGGAAAGTTGTCACAGTTTTATTGAAATATTTACCACCATAGATTAAAACACAGATGGTGTCATTAGTTGCAACAATCCTTTCTCTGGATTTTTTCAAGCATAAAATGGTCCCATTTAGGGGATTCTGCAATTTAAATGGTCCTGTTGAGGGGATTCCACAATTTGTATCTGTCTCAGAAGTTCTGCCTTTTTCAACCAGATGGAGACTAAAAGTCATCCTCCACCACTGCTTGCTAGGAATTCTGTACTAATACTCGCTTGCTGTGCCAATAAAAAAACCAAACCAAAACAAACCAAACAAAAAAACCCACCAAACAAAAAACCAAAGCTCCTCAAACTTGTATAACTCTAATTCCAATGTTTTTTGTCTCACCCTGAATGCTGTTTCCATCCAATTTAGAACTTTTTCAGCTAAAATGAGGGAACTCGAATTAAATCCTGTGTGTCCCCCACCCAGCCCAGGCACTGGAGTCAGATCTGAGAAATGCCTAAAATATGACTCAGCTTTTAATCTCCTGAAGTAGACAAACAGTGCTAGGAATAGAAAACTTTCCTGTGGCTGGTGAACGAATGTTCCTCTGAAGGTAGGCAAAGGGTTAAGGCTCTGATGGCAGCCCTAGCCCAGGAACTTCACATTTGCAGTAGGGGAAAAAAAAAAAACAAACCTAAAATAAAATAAAATAAAATAAAATAAAATAAAATAAAATACACCAAAAGAAGAAGTCTAGAAGCAAAAGACCTGTGCAGAAGGGCTGCCCACCTCTGATGGAGGCAAACCTCCCAGAGCTTGCAGGAGTGGAGGGCTTTTGCCTTGTGTCTGGCTCTGTGGGCAATCAGACGCCTTGTAATTTGAGATGTGACACCTTAATCTCGCCAAATATGTGTGCACTGCAAAAAGCATTGTAGACAGCCTGTTTTCACAGCCAGGGAAAATGGAGACGTGTTTGGTTCTTGCCGTTTTCCAACCTTTCCCCTACAGATGTTACTGTTGTTCTGAAGCTGCTTCTTTCTAGGTATTTCTACATATTCAGCTGTTATTCTGGGGGTGGGGTGTTTTTTTCCCCCTCATGCTAACCCTTAGTATAAGGTGGGTTTCTTTCACATTTCAAGCAGGTTTCTGAATTTTTAATAAGAAGCAATCCAGATCCCAAATGGTCACCTTATTTTATCTGTTGCCCTTGGATCTGAGGTTCAGACATGGCAAAAAAAAAAAAAAAAAAAAAAAAAAAAAAAAAAAAAAAAAAAAAAAAAAAAAAAAAAAAAAAAAAGTTTAAAAAACCCCTAAAAAACCCTAAAATATTACTTTGAACAATTCCCTGTTCTGTCTTGAAGAATCTGAAACATTGCTCAAAGCATGTTGGAGAAAGTCATCTTTGAATTCTGGGATTTTAATTGGGATAATTACAAGACATTGATCTGATTAATTAGGCACTTGACCAGACTTCAAAACATGTGATATTTTATATACTTTGAAGACATGTATTTTTCTCTACATTTTAACAAATACCACTGTGATTTCGTTTGATGATAAAAAAATTGAATATTTATGGGGAAGATATGCGTGTGAGTATGCAAATGCATGAACATTTTATTGGGTTTAATGCATGCCTTGGGCCATTCTAAAAGCAGGGAGCATGTTCTATAATGGTTAGCTTTTGCAACAGCACCACTTTGTGGTTGAATTCCCAAACAGATCCCAAAAAGGGGCTGTAGGGACACCACATGTGCCTCAGCAAATCCGAGCAGTTCCCAGTTTTAATATCCATTGACAAATGCACTTACCTGGGATGGAAATGTGTTCTGGCCATGTGGTCCTCTCTTTTTTAAGATGGTGGGCTTGAAGTAAAGGCAAGGAAGAAGAAGTTGGAGCAGAAGATTAGCTCAGAGCATTTTGACCAACTGATATCTTCAGTAGAGGAGGCTGTTCACCTTTCAAATGCCAAAATCACTTTTGTTCTAATTTTCAGAATTTTATAAAGGGCCCGAAAATATCTCTAGAATTTTTTTTTTTTTTAATACTTGAAATGTGCTGCAAATGTTTTGTTGGAAGTAAAAAAGGAATCCAACTATCTTTTTATTTGGTGGAAATGGTGGTGGGAAAGAATAGCAATTATTTATTTAAAGATTATTTAAGTGTTGTTTTAAGAATACCAATGGTGCCATGTCAGAGCTGAAGGAATTTCTGAAACCTCAGTGGCATCCTCACTTGCACCCAGGCTCGGCAAATGAGAAGCACTAGAAAGAATTTCCAAGCATGATTCACAAAGAACTTCAAGCTTAGTTTTGTTACACATTTCTTGGAAAGATGTCTCCTGCAGCTTTCCCTCTTTCTTAAAAATAGTTAGGACAACTCACAACAATTAACATAGTAGGTCAAAGATGCCACAGTGTAACATGTGTACCCAGAGCTGTAGGCATGCCAGGAGGGAGGATGGGAATAATGCACGTAAATAAGCAGGAATTCTGGGCACACCCTGAAAACCATTATTCTTCAGAGCTTTTCCTAAAAGAAAGGCATTTTACAGAGTCAGCTTTTATGCAGTTCACCTTCAAACTTATTTCCTTGGCAGAGAATTAACAAAGTGAAATTAAATTAGATTATAATAATAGTATTAATTAAAATAACATCGAGATGCAATAAAATGCACCTAGTAAGTACAACTGCAATAACTTTCTTGCATGAAAGATTTTACACACACAGCATTGCAGTATTCAGACCAAAATTTCAATTGTTTTACAAATATTTTTTGTTACAAAGGAAATGTATTGATTTGTACTCCTATATCAAAGATGTATATTAAGTGATATACAAAAGGGGATTTGCACTCTCCAATATGTAGCTGTGTTTTGGCAGTACAGTTATGGATGATTACAAATATCTCCAATGTGCTAATGTGTTACATCACTTATCAGCTTAGCTCATATTTTGGATTTACATAATATTTGTCTTTTTCTGATTTGTCTTTTTTTTCCAGAGATGGTCTTTGTTGGAGGAATAATTCAGAAACAAGGTTAGTTGATGATAGACAACATTTTTGGGGGAAAAAAAACCCCATTTCTTTTAATTATAAGCATACTTTGAACCCCTACCCATTTTTTATAATTCCAAGTTAGCTGAAGAGAACTTGCATGACTATCAGCAAGAAAAATGCTGAAGAAAAAAATCAAATTAAAACCACATGAGGAGGTTTGGTTCATTACTTATGCTAGAACTGGGAAAAGGTGCCTGCAGTTTTTAATGATAGAGGAAGAGGAGATTTGGAGCCACAGCACCATTCTTTTGTGAAGAAGATAAATGCCACATTGGAACATATAAGGAGATACATAAAGTGCAGCTGGCATGCTGGGACTCAGTTCTGACCATGTTCAAGTCAGAGGAGACCTGGAAAATGACAAAAGAAATTATTGAATGTGGCATGTAATTTAAAATATGCTGAAAAATCTCAACAGAGTAAAGAAAACAGAGTGAGGACTCACAAGGCTGTAATGGACCCTGGCCAGGGCAAGGGCAGGTCTAGGTGGTCTCTCTACCCCTTTCTCTGCTGTGACTATATGACTTGCACCATCACAGGAAGTAAATATGTTCAGGAACATATTTATTAATATGTTCATACATATTCACTTGGTTTGGGACACTTAATGTCTTTATCATGGGGAAATTTTCCCACAGGGAAGTCACCACCACAGTGGTTTTCCCTCCTGGACTGGTGCTTCTGCACCTTGAAGGTACAGTGGAACTGTAATAGC